GCACTTGTTCTAGGGAGAACCCTCCGGGGTTCTGACCATGGCCTCCTCCGGTCCCCCTTCAGTGATAGGAGTGTTGTTTTGCCAACACTGACAGATTCTGCTTTCTCAGAGGCGTTTTGTTTACCTTCTTCATTTCCTTCTCTTCATAATTTCAAAATTCAGAAAATGTCTTAAGTATACAGTTCATTTTCCTTTACTCCCTTTCTCCCTGAGTTAATGGCTCAAGAGCCTCTAGTTATTGAATCTCATTGATGTTCCAACGCAAGGAGATATGTTTTCACAGCAAGTTTCTTTCTAGAGTCTTTAACCAGATTGTTTGATTCATGTTCCTTTTTCAGGTGCCCAGTGAATGCCCTGAAAGATAAATCTACTGCAGAATGTAGACTCGCCCCACTGCATAGTGTCTCCTTTTCCATGAATCTGTCCTTTCGTGTTCAGGCTGCATCAGCCCCTATCTGATATCTTCAAACAGATCTTAGTCTTATTATATCCATTGTGCCTAGTTTATCTCAGTGAAAGAGTTGGTGCACTGCAAGCCACTCTAATGACTGGAAGTAGAACTTCATGCATAGAAGATTTTTTCTTTTAAGTAAACTTTTCATTTTAGAACAGTATTAGGTTTACAGAATAACTGTGAAGATAGCAGAGTGAGCTCCCATATCTGCTACACCCAGTGTCCCTATTATTAAGATATTATATTGGCACGGTCCATTTGTTACAATTAATGGACCAATATCAATACCTTATTGTTAACTAAAGTCCATCTTTGTTCATACTTCCTTAGTTGTTTTTTCTAATATTCTTTTCCTAGTCCAGAATCCCAATCAGGATAGCACATTGCCTTAAACAGTCATTTCTCCTTGGGCTTCTATTGGTTGTGCCATTTTCTCAGACTTCCATGGTCTGTGATGACCCTGACAGTTTTGAGGAGTACTAATCAGGGGTTTGGTAGAATACCCCTCAATTGTACAATTCTTATGCATTCCTCAGTCATTCCTCTGATATATTCCTTAATATTAAACAGGGGTTATGTGTTTGGGGGAGGAAGAGAAGAGAGGTAAGATGCCATCTTCATCTCATCATATCCAGGGTATAGACTATCAACACACTTAATTACTGGGGATATTGACCTTATCATCTGGCTGAGGTGGTGTTTCTCAGATGTCTCCATTGTCAATCTCTTCCTTCTTTCCCATATCTGTGCCCTTTGGGAGAAAGTCACTATGTGTAGCTCAGACTTAAGGAGTGGGAGTTATGCCCCACCTCCTGGAGGGTATAATATATACACAAATTACATGAAATTCTGCATGGTAGATTTGTCCATTTTAACCCATCTATGTATGTGTATATGTATTTACTAAATCATTTATACCAGTGAGGACTCATGGATATTTATTTTATACTTAGGTTATAATCCAACACTACTGTATTTATTTTGCTGCTTACATTTTTAGCTTTGACAATTATTTGTTTTTCGGTTGGCTCCAGTGTCCTTTTGACATACCCCTATCATTTTGTCGTGTGTGTGTGTGTGTGTGAAGTGAGTAGTTTGGCATTTTTTACTTTCTGGGAATATACAAGATTCTCCAGGCTCATCTTGTATATTTCCTACCCTGGCCCTACGATCTGCCATTTCCCCAAGGAGCCCTGGTGGTTGTATTAGAGAATGGCATTAGAAACCAAGACCTTGGCACTAAGTGTGCTTATTGCTTTTGGGGTGTTGTTGC